TAGCATTAAAACGGCTGCAATGGCCAAGCACAGTGGCTCACACCTGTAATCCCAGCACTTTGGAAGGCTGAAACAGGTGGATCACTTAAAGTCAGGAGTTCGAGACCAGCCTGGCCAACATCGTGAAACCTTGTCTTTACTAAAAATACAAAAATTAGCCAGGCATGGTGGTGCATACCTATAATCCCACCTACTCAGGAGACTGAGGCAGGAGAATTGCTTGAACCCAGGAGGCAGAGGTTGCAGTGAGCTGAGATCACGTCACTGCACTCCAGCCTGGGCAACAGAGAGAGACTCCATCTCAAAAAAAGAAAACAAACAAACAAAAACCAAGGCTGCAAGAACTCTGAGTGAAAGAACGTTTTCAAACTTGCCACCCCTTAGAAACAGGAGAGACCTATTTCTTACCGATTTCAAGTCTTCCAAGCTGAACAGCCGGCTACTGTCAGATACATTTTAAAACCGTGAGTCCTGACTTCTGGATCCAGGCCCTGGCTCAGCCACTCATTAACTTATGATCTTAGGCCAATTTTCCTTCCTCCTCTTGGTCCAATTTTTCCCTTCCCTAAATCCAGGACGTGATCCCCATTTGTGACAGTATACTGTAGGGTGGTGGCTCATGGGGTAAGGCTCTCGCTGAGCCTCACTTTCCTAACTGGAAACTGGGGAGACAGTAGACCTTTGTCGTCTGTCTCCCCTCTTTTCCCCTCCTCTTCCTCTGTTAATACCAGCCCCACTCTTTTTTTTTTTTTCAAGGACTAGACACCAAAAGATATGAGAGTGAAATTAATAGTGTGACTCCACAAAGTACAGTAATGATTTAAGCAAACATAGTGTGGGAACAATTGACATTTTCTTTCTTTTTTTTTTTTTTTTTTAGAAAGAAAAGAAAAAAGAAAAAAAAAAAGAAAGACAAAAAAAGAATAAAAAATAAAAATAATAAAAAATAATTAAAAAAAAAGAGAATGAAGGAGAGGAAGAAAGAGGAAGAGGAAGAAGGGAGAGAGAACAGGAGTGTTGTTTTATTGCCCAGGCTAGAATGCAGTCTAAAAATGGGTATTAAAAACCTCTTTTATGCCAATAAGTGTGCTTAATAATGGAGACAGGAAAAAAATGAGGGAAGAAAATAACAAACAAGCAGCCAACCAATATTTCATGTAAACCTGTAAGTAGGTGTGATGTGGTACTGATAAGAGTGTATATTTTGTGTATTTAAAGTGCAGAGTTCTATAAATGTTTAAGTTTACTCGTTCTGGATCTGAGTTCAAGTCCTGGATAAAGAGTCCAGCCCCACTCTTTCGAGAAACTTCTCCTTTCTTCCACGTGGTTGCTTTTGGCTGCATCAGGACCTCCATGGCAGTAGCAGGGGCACCAAGAAGAGGGTGAGCCAATAACAGAACCAGAAAAGGACCTGAGGCCAACACAGATGTCAGAATGAGAGATGAGCCATCCTGACCGTCTGAATGTCCCTGAATTCACACTAATCTTTTCGAATGTGTGTGTATGTAAACCCCCTTCTTTGCTTGAAAGTAATAATTACAACTTCCCTCTGACCTCTTACGCTCCTGATAAAGAAAAATCAAAGACCAAAATCAAAGCCACACTTCTTTCTCTCAATTTTGCTCAGGGCTGGCAGTCCAATGGAAGCAGATCGTCTCTGGTTTGGTCTTACCCTCTCCCTCTAGCCCTGTGCCAAGAAACTCATGCAGCAATCACACATTTAAAGTTTAGAGAAGGGTCTAAAGGGAAGAGTAATTACCAACATCAAGGGGTCATTATGGAGGCCACTGCTCAGGTTTGAAATCTTTTTACACTGATGTCCAAACATGACAAAGATAGACTTTAATTGAAACAGGAGAGATTTATAGCCACCAAGAAAAAAAAAGAAAGAAAAAAAAGAAAAAAAGAAACTTCCACTTGCCAGAGAGCTAAATGGAGGACTAAGTCTAGTAGCACTGTTTCCATCCCAGTGTCTTCTGGAATAAAGGACCAACGCCCTTTTGAGCCCCCAGCCCTCCATTTTGGTGAGTATGTTGCTCTAGATGCTTTCACTTACCCTTCTCTCTGTTTAAAAGTAAGGCTCTCTGGTGACAGGGGGCGTCGTAGTGGGGCCTGGAATGTTGCTGTGTGCTGTTGGGGTCTCTGAGGCTCACTTTTCCTTGGGCACCCATGGTTACCTCTGCTGGTTTGGGTGAGACCCCAATCAAGAAGCTAGGCAATGGGCCCAGATAAAACCACACAGGGAAGAATTAAGAGATAGAGACTATTACAAGAAAGACATCAACTTGTACTTACTATTGGACAATGAAATATGCTTCTGGCACGGACTGGCTGGCTGGCTGTGTCTGTGGTCAGGTGACTTGGGGGAAATTCTTCGAGAGCACGCCAGCATGCCAGGTTGAGGCCAGGCCTAAGGGCTTGTTTTCAAAACCTACGAAGGATGATTTTGAAATCCTCCTACCTCAGCCTCCCGAAGCCTTTCATACTGTTTGAATTATTAACCAAGGCCATGCAATTATAACAAAAAGTAGAAGCCCAAAGAAAACTGGCTTGGAGCACTGGGAACTCAATCACACAGCACTTGGCAACCCAAGGGAGGCATCCGGGCAAGGAGTAAATGCCCAGAAGTGGTTGTTTTGCAAAGCAATTCAGAGAAAGGAGGATTTTTTTTTTCATTGAGCATTTTTTTTTCTTTAGAGTCTTGCTCCTTCGCCAGGCACCAGCCTGGAGTGCAGTGGTGCAATCTTGGCTCACTGCAACCTCTGTCTCCCGGGTTCAAGCAATTCTCCTACCTCAGCCTCCTGAAGCCTTTTATACTGTTTGAATTATTAACCAAGGCCATGCAATTATAACAAAAAGAAATTTGTCGCCCGGTGCGGTGGCTCAAGCCTGTAATCCCAGCACTTTGGGAGGCCGAGGCGGGTGAATCACAAGGTCAAGAGATCAAGACCATCCTGGTCAACATGGTGAAACCCCGTCTCTACTAAAAATACAAAACATTAGCTGGGCATGGTGGCACATGCCTGTAATCCCAGCTACTCAGGAGGCTGAGGCAGGAGAATTGCCTGAACCCAGGAGGCAGGAGGTTGCGGTGAGCCAAGATCGTGCCATTGCACTCCAGCCTGGGTAAAAAGAGTGAAACTCCGTCTCAAAAAAAAAAAAAAAAAAAAGAAAAAAAAAGAAAGAGAAAAGAAAAAGAAAATAAATTTGTTTACAGTTTTTAATCATTAAAAATGAATTTTTCTTTTCCACTCAGTTCCTACAAGTTCAGATCCTTGGCTTTGCCGGAGGTCAGAGGGAAACGTCATCCCAAAAGGAAGCAGGGGCAGGATTTCCAGTGAAAAGCCTCTTCTTCCAGTCCATGTTACTCTCTCTTGTTCATCATCTGGTAGCTGGCTGGCAGTGGCTTTCTCAGGGTGAGGGCTGAGGTGAGACAACAAGCTGAATGCTGGTTTCCAGGCTGGAATTTGACCACTCTGGGAGCTGGAGCTCAGGTCCATGTGGACTAGGGTGGGGTCATGCTGGCCTGGGTTATCAAAACTCTGTTGGTCAGTCTATCATCTGAAGAGAAGAGGAAGAATGAATGGGGCAGAAGGTAGTGTAGGGAATGGTTATGCCGTGTAGTGGCCCTGAAGAAATGGCATGACGTCTGGTGGTCATTAAGTCATTTCACAAGGAAAGGAATGTACCTGGATGCACACTCAGCTATTAATAAAGTGTGAAATCTGGGACGGAATGTCCCAGCAGAAGTTGGAGGCTGGTAGAGTTGTGTACTCCAAACAATTGGCAGATCAGAGATACTGCTTTAGACCAGAGACCACCAGGGACTTCAATTGTGCCTACAACATCACCCCAAATAGATGCTACATTACTAAGTCAGCTTTTCCATCTCCCACCAAAGAAGCCCCAATATGAGGCTGAGCTCCAAATTTTACAGTTTGGAACATAATAGATACCCTTAAAGAAAGTGTGTCACTGTTCGAGTTTGCAGTGAGCTATGATTTCACCACTGCACTCAAGCCTGGGCAAGAGAGGACCGTGTATCTTAAAAAAAAAAAGTGTCCGGGTGAGGTGGCTCACACCTGTAATCCCAACGCTTTGGGAGGCCTAGGCAGGTGGATCATGAGGTCAGGAGATCAAAACCATCCTGGCCATGGTGAAACCCCATCTCTACCAAAATACAAAAAATTAGCTGTATCTGGTAGTGTGTGGTGTGTGCCTGTATTTGTAGTCCCAGCTACTCAGGAGGCTGAGGCAGGGGAATCACCTGAATCTGGGAGATGAAGGTTGCAGTGAGCTGAGATCGTGCCACTGCACTCCAGCCTGGTGAAAAAGCAAGACTCCATCTCAAAAAAAAAAAAAAAGAAAAAAAGAAATGTATCAAGGGTTCAGAGTCTTTTATTCAGCTGTCTTAATCTCCGTGCTACTTGGAATTGTTTCATCACAGCAAAACTCAGTCTTGAGTGGCATGGAAGAGTGTTGTCTAAATATCCAACTTTTTTTCAGGGTTTCAGAATGCACAGTCTCTGTTCCCCATACATCGCTGTCAGATTTACTAGCATCAGCCAATGTCTACCTCCTAATTTGCCATTTGCCACTTTTTTCCTATCCCAAGTACTCAGCAACTAGAGTGAGTGTTGGAGAGACCCTTCCCCCAAATTGCTGGTCCCTCTTCCCTCAGTGGTCCCAATCTTGACACAGACAGCAGAACAGTGTTAGATGGGCGCCCCTGCACTACATATATCTGGCTCCCATTTATTTATACAGAACATTTATTTCATAAAAGTTGTAGACTATCATCCACAACTGACAAACTTTAAAAAGCCACACACATCCAAATGGTTTTAAGCTATATTTAATCAGTGTTGCTGCTAGTGTCATGGTTCTTTTCAGACACTTTACTCCAGGAATCTATAGTTTGCTTCTATTATCCTCTGCAGACAGCACATGCTGGTGCTGTGACTGGATCATAACGTTTGCCATGATGCAACCTGCTGCCATCAGAACTGCAGTATGTTACTGACAAGGTCAACATAGTGGGCATCAGGGGGTGGCTTCCTCTGACTCCCAGGCTGCAGGAACTTCTTAATTGTAGGGATGTTGCTGATTCTTGTTTTAAATGCCTGAAATGAGAAACAGTAACATCAGGGCCTCAATTGTAGTCACAACCTTTAAGAAAAATCTCAACTTTGTCATGAGCTGAGGGTGCTTAGACTTCAGTTTGTGGAGCCCAGTGTGTTGAATCTATATCAATCCCTCAACAAGTGTTTGCTGGATATTCCTGGGTTGGGTAATAATACAATTGCTGACATGTTTAACATGAGTTACATTATCTTACTAAAAAGTCACAATCAGGCAGTACATATCCCTAAAATATTCATATTATTATTAGTATTTTTTTAGATGGAGTCTCATTCTGGTGCCCAGGCTGGCATGCAGTGGCACAGTCTTGGCTCACTGCAATCTCCACCTGCTGTGTTCAAGCGATTCTCCCACCTCTGCCTCCCAAGTAGCTGTGATTACAGGTATATGTCACCATACCTGGCTAATTTTTGTATTTTTAGTAGAGACAGGGTCTCACCGTGTTGACCAGGCTAGTCTTGAACTCCTGACCTCTAGTGATCCACCTGCCTTAGCCTCTCAAAGTGCTGGGATTACAGGCATGAGCGACTGTGCCCAGTTATATTCATATTCTTGGCCTATCAATTCTTGTTTTAGGAATTATTATAAAGGAATAAGTAAGGGTGTGAGCAAAGAAATATCTATAAGAGGCTGAGTGTGGTGGCTCATGTCTGTAATCCTAGCACTTTGGGAGGCTGAGGTGGGAGAATTGTTTGAGCTCAGGAGTTCAAGACCAGCCCAGACAACACAGTGAGACCCCCATCTCTACAAACAATTTTTTTTTTTTAAAGAAATAGCTATAAGAATGTTAACAGGGGCCAGGTGCAGTGGCTCTCCCCTGTTATCCCAGCACTTTGGGAGGCGAAGGTAGGTGGATCACAGTGTCAGGATTTTTAGACCAGCCTGGCCAAAATGGTGAAACCCTGTCTTTACTAAAAATACAAAAATTAGCCAGGCATGGTGGCATGTACCTGTAATCCCAGCTACTCAGGAAGCTGAGGCAGAAGAATCGCTTGAATCCAGGAGGTGGAGGTTGCAGTGAGCCAAGATCACACCATTGTACTCCAGCCTGGGCAACAAAGCAAGACTCTGCCCCCCCACAAAAAAAAAAAAAAAAATTTGTTTAATGTTAACATGGTAAAAATTAGAAAGAACCTATGTTTCTAGAAAAGGAGACTGGTTATATAAATTATGGTTCTTCTCTACAAGGAGTATAAACTAGTAATTTAAAAATGCTTTTATGTAAGAGGAAAGAGGAAGGTCCTTGTATTATAAAGTAAAGATCTCTAAAATGCACTGTTTATCAATAATTTTTAAAAGCCTGGGGCAGAACAGAATATACACAATTTTCTGTTTTGTGCAAGAAAGTTGGGAGTGGCAAAGAATATGACTATATATTCTGATTTGCTTTTATCTGCAAAAATAACAACATTGGAAATTATACATAGGATGCCAATAAAAGTGATTATGGAAGCAGGATGGTGGGAGGGAAGAGGTGAGAACGAGACTTCCAAATGTATGTTCTTTTTACATAGCTCTGTTTTTTGTTTTTTTTTTTTTTTTTTTTTTGAGATGAGGTCACTATGTTGCCCAGGCTGGAGTACAGTGGTGTGATCTTGGCTCACTGCAACCTCCACCTGCTGGATTCAAGTGATTCTACTGTCTCAGCCTTCTGAATAGCTGGGATTACATGTGAACACCACCACACCTGGATAATTTTTTATATTTTTAGTAGAGACACGGTGTTACCATGTTGGCCAGGCTGGTCTGAAACTCTTGACTTCTAGTGATCTGCCCACCTCAGCCTCTTGAAGTACTGGGATTACAGGCGTGATCCATCATGCCTGGCCATACCTCTGATTCTTTTTAAGAAGATGTGATTCTATTGATTAATGAAAATAAAATAGTATACTATTGCAGAAGAATATTTATTGACCTATAAATATTTAATGATAATTGAAAAGAATGTTAAATGCAGACCACAAAACAATCTTTAGTATAACCCTATTTGGAGGGAAAATGCAAAATAATAAGCCAGGAAATCTCATGCAAATAACATTTGGCTGGTGAGATTATAGGTCTTTTTTCTTTTATTCTCTTCTCTCTTTTGTGTTTTTTGTTTGTTTGTTTGTTTGTTTTTGGTGACAGAGTCTCACTCTGTCACCCAGGCTATAGTGCAGTGGTGCGATCTCTGCTCACTGAAACCTTCACCTCCCGGGTTCAAGCGATTCTCCTGCCTCAGTCTCCTGAGTAGCTGGAATTACAGGCATGCGCCACCACACCTGGCTAATTTTTGTATTTTTTAGTAGAGATGTGGTTTCACCATGTTGGGCAGACTGGTCTTGAACTCCTGACCTCAGGTGATCTGCCCAACTCAGTCTCCTAAACTGCTGGGATTATAGCCTCCTAAAGTGCTGGGATTACTGGCCAATGCACCTGGCCAGTCTTTTTTCTTTTCTTCTTTTGGTTTACACAAATGTCTAATGTAGCTACATGAACTTGCATTTCTTTTATAATAAGAAAAATTGTTAATTCTTAAACCACAAGATCTGTGGTTACCTATTAGATAAAATGTTTCTCAGGAATTGGAGCAGAGGCTGGGTAAGGTCTGGCAGGAGCAGAATTCTGTTGAGGGCTGGGGCAGTGCAAAGGCTGGCAGTGCCCCCTAAGCAGATGCTCTGAGCAATGGAGGAACTACGTGGGGCCCCAGCACCAGGGGGACTAAAAGCTGGCAGGGCTGTCTGGTAGGACCTGGAGGGAGGAGCATCAAAGACAGACTTGTCAGCTTTGCTTTGTTCGGATGAAAAGTTTTAAAAGCACTAAAAACAGGAAAGTTCTAAATGTCCATGCTAGACATCAAAATAATGAATTCTTTTCCCCCCTCATAAAGTTTTATTTCCTAGAAGATCCTGTAAATAAGCAAGAGAAAAATAACCAAAATGAAGAAAAGAATGATTTTTAAAACGGTGTTCTCGGCCTGGGAATGGTGGCTTACACCTGCAATCCCAACATTTCAAGAGGCCACAGCCAGGGAACTGCTTGAGGCTAGGAGTTAGAGGCCAGCCTGGGTAACATAGAGAAACATCCATCTCTAAAAAAAAAAAAAAAAAAAAAAAAAAAAACCAGGCATGGTGGCATACACCTGATGAGGTGGGAGGATCGCTTGAGCCCAAGAGGTGAAATCTGCAGTGAGCCATGATGGTGCCATTGCACTCCAACCTGGGCAGCAGAGTGAGACCCTGTCTCAAAAAAAAACAAACAACAACAAAACCCACCACACACACACACACACACACACACACACACACACACACACCAGTGTTCTTGAGCATCTTTTGATTGGCCTAGAGGCACCTTTTGCTTCAGTCTTTGTTCATTTTTTTCTGTATTTTGTGTGGATGTTAATACACTACCTTTAGCAGAGGGAAGTCAGAAAGAACAGAAGCACTGAGTTCTTCCACCATTAAAATAGCTTCTAACAGCTGTATGTCTGCCCAGCTGAATTTGTTGCCAACAAGAAAATCCTCTCCATGTTCTTTCAAAATCTACAGAAAGAAAAATCATAAAGAATATCAGATGGCAGTAAAAAACCATTTTGTGTGGCCAAACACTTAAGAAGAACATGAAGGCTTTGTGCTGATTAGATTTAACGAAGAATCTTAAAAAAAAGAATCTCTAGTGCTGGCAAGAATAGGATGAAAGCAACACTCTAACACATGCTATAAACTGGCATAATTTTGGTGGGAAATTTTTCAGTGATTGTCAAGGCCTTTTGGGTGGTGAAATGCTGGCACTGGACTCCTGTTACAAACCTGGAGGTGGCTATGTAAAATTGTATCCACCAGTACAGAGAGACACAAAAGTTACAACTAGCTGAAGCCTGGTGGCTATCCCACCAACAGAAACAAGTGACCAATGTGATCCCAGAAGTCCAAATCAGAACCACATGGAAAGCTAATTTTTCACTATCCAGTGAAGAGTGAATATTTAGAAATCTCTCAGGTGCATCTTTGAGTAGCAGATGCATTAAATTGAGTTTACTCCATAAATAAGGAGCGAAGGTAAATTCAGGTGCTATGTCTCTTGCTGTGATACATGCAAGAAGAAAAATTAATATTAGTGTGGATGGGGAAAAATCTCCAGAATTAGTGAATTCTATAGTATCTTACATAAGGCAAAGATAAACACTTGATGGGCTATATCAAATAAATGAAATGGGACTTCTGCTAAAGATAAATTCACAATTAAAAATTACACAGCATATAACGAAATCCAAGTCTTTTATGAGACAGAGGCAACAGACCTATAGAAAAGGAGAATTTTGAGCCACAGAGCCAAAAATAAGAGTTGATTCTGTAAAGGCTTAAAAATGCTTTTAAGTGTTCAATGAGGTAATAAAAGGGTGTCGTGGGTGAGCAACGACTATCTGGGCTGGTGTCATAAAGTTACTTAAAGGATAAAAACAAGGACAAAAAGAAAAATTGATTTATTATTCCCCTTTGAAGATACTAGATAATTCATTGTTTTTAAGCAGTCAATCAAGTGTTTGTCCTCTTTTCCTATAAAAAATACAAACCAGGCCGGGCGCGGTGGCTCAAGCCTGTAATCCCAGCACTTTGGGAGGCCGAGGCGGGTGGATCACGAGGTCGAGAGATCGAGACCATCCTGGTCAACATGGTGAAACACCGTCTCTACTAAAAATACAAAAAACTAGCTGGGCGTGGTGGTGCGTGCCTGTAATCCCAGCTACTCAGGAGGCTGAGGCAGGAGAATTGCCTGAACCCAGGAGGCGGAGGTTGCGGTGAGCCGAGATCGCGCCATTGCACTCCAGCCTGGGTAACAAGAGCGAAACTCCGTCTCAAAAAAAAAAAAAAAAAAAAAATACAAACCAGAGCAGTCAAATATCTTATGAGGGGAAGATTCTTCTTATAAAAACTATTCAAGCTAGTAAATGAAAAGGGACTGGCAAGGTTAGGACATCACCATGTGGCATCTACTCATAAATTGATGTATCTAGGCACTGATCATCAATTGCATGAATATCCTAAGAGCAACAACCAATTTGTTTGCCGATGACCTACACAGCACCACCTGTGAAACAATCCAGCCAAAAGAATTGAGCCTGACCCTGATCAAGCTTCTACTTCTAACTTCCAATTGATAGGAAGCCAGGAGTATGCGGCAGTGAGTAAAAGCCAGACCACAGGAAACTCTAGGATGCAAGATAAACACAAGAGGAAAAAAGGGAAGAGAGAGAACTCAAATAATCATCACTTATCTTAAACAAAAGGCATGTTGTCTTTGGATAATCTAGAGCTTGCTTATCTAGTACTCTAAAGCACTGATCGAATAATTCATTATAATTTAGTCAGTAACAAGTTGTTCTTTTCCAAGGCCAAGACTGAGGACATATGCATACAATTCTTTCATCTGGCAGAACCTTATGAAACCTTGTGCTAACAAGTGTTAGCGTTTTCCATGTTGCCAGATGTATTATGAGGACATTTGTTATTAGTATTTACTCTAAAATGACCACAAATTTTCCCTTTAAGAGACTTTGTCTTACGGAGGGGATGTGGTGGCTCGTGCCTGTAAATCCCTGCACTTCGGGAGGCCGAGGTGGGTGGATTGCTTGAGGTCAGGAGTTCGAGACCAGGAGTTCGAGACTGAGGTCAACATGGTAAAACCCCGTGTCTATAAAGGTACAAAAATTAGCTAGGCGTGGTGACACACACCTGTAGTTCCAGCTGCTCGGTAGGCTGAGGCAGGAGAATTTGTTGAACCTGGGAGGCAGAGGTTGCAGTGAGCCGAGATCACACCACTGCACTCAAGCCTGGGCAACAGATTGAAACTGTCTTAAAAAAGACAGAGAGAGAGAGAGAGAGAGAGAGAGAGAGAGAGAGAGAGAGAGAGACTTTGTCTTTTGATTGAGATACAATTAGCCTCTATTATTAGACCTAAAAAAATAACCTGACACAACTAAAGTCCAAGACATCACACCTTGGGCTGATGTCTTAATTTAAAAGTCAGAACAGAAATGCTGTATACTTTCATTGTACTTGGCATATTCCAACTTTATTTTGTTGGGGGTTCCATAATTTTACCTGTAATTTGTTCTAGAATCCTTTTTAAAGTTTTGATTTGGATCAGTAAAGCTCTAACATGGCCTTTGATTGTATTTTCAGGTATTCACTCTTGAAATATTCTCAGAAACAAAAAATGTCTAAGCCCTGTATCCCTGAAGCCTACCTTTTCAAAGACAGGGAAGTATCGGGTTTTCGCTTTCTGGAGGATGGAAGCAAGGGTCTCCTGTTTTTCCTCAGGGCGTTGGAAGGGGGCCAGCATTATCATTGCCATCAGGTCCAGGGTGCCATCAACGTACATGTCAATCCTGATAAAACAACCATTTGACCCTCAGGCAGACAGGAGCTTTTGAGTACAGGGTTCCTAGTCCAACACTTCTCTGGTATAGATAGATGAAGGAGCAAATGATTTTTATTTTTCCTCTTAAGCTTCCACTCTCATAAATGATTTCTAGCACCAGAACCAGCCAAGTGCCCAGGATATAGCAGTCTCTAGAAATGTTTATTGTATAAAAGGATGTATGAAAGAATTCTTTAATGCCCATAAGTTGAAATCTGCCATAAACAAATAATTGATTATCATGACTTTAAAAACTAAACTCAATGCAGTTTATTAAAACTACAAAACAATTAGTACAGAACATCCTCGCTTATTTAGAGAAGATAGATAATTTAATAGGTCTTCTCTTGACTTGGTAACAGAGAAAGAAAAGTTCAATTTCCTAGTCAGGTCAAACAGATGTATTTCTTTCCCTTTAAAGTTTTCCTTGCATTGCCAAGCACTAAATAAATAAATAAACAAACAAATCATAGTATTTATATTGTCATTATTTACTGGCCTATTAGTACATTCATGCTGTGCTAGTTATCTCTTCAAGGATGTCTTTGTATTCCCCATTACATGCTAATTGCTTAATGAATTTGTTTTAATGGTCTTCTGAGGTCTTTGTCTTTCTTTCTTTTTTTTGTTTTATTTATTTATTTATTTATTTTTTGAGATGAAGTTTTGCTCTTGTTACCCAGGCTGGAGTGCAATGACGCGATCTCGGCTCACCGCAACCTCCGCCTCCTGGGTTCAGGCAATTCTCCTGCCTCAGCCTCCTGAGTAGCTGGGATTATAGGCACGCACCACCATGCCCAGCTAATTTTTTGTATTTTTAGTAGAGACGGGGTTTCACCATGTTGACCAGGATGGTCTCGATCTCTTGACCTCGTGATCCTCCTGCCTCAGCCTCCCAAAGTGCTGGGATTACAGGCTTGAGCCACCGCGCCCAGCCTGTCTTTCTTTTTAACAGCATACAAAGAATAATAGAACCAGGCTCAGTGGCGTATCTATGGCTCAACTATATAGCTCAACCATACGGGAGGCTGAGATGGGAGGATTGCCTGAGCCCAGCAGTTTGAGTCTGGCCTGGGCAACATAGTGAAACCCCATCTCATTTGAAAAAAAAAAAAAAAAAAAAAGGCCTGGCATGGTGGCTCACACCTGTAATCCCAATACTTTGGGAGGCCAAAATGGGTGGAATCACTTGAGGCCAGGAGTTTGAGACCAGTCTGGCCAACATGGTGAAACCTGTCTCTACTAAAAATACAAAAATCAGCAAGGCGTAGTGGTGCATGTCTACAGTCCCAGCTACTTGAGAGAGTGAGGCAGGAAAATCACTTGAACCCAGGAGGCAGAGGTTGCAATGAGCTGAGATCACACTACTACACTGCAGCCTGGGCAACAGAGTTTGACTCTGCCTCAAAAAAAAAAAAAAGAAAGAAAGAAAAGAAAAAAAGAAAAAAATTAATAATATCCTATGTGAATGACAAATAATTTTTCTTTCATGTTAGTATCACCTAGCCCACTTGCTTTAGTCTACTATAGTTTATGGCTAACCCAAAGAAAAATAACATTAACAACACCATCTCAGGATGCATCTCAGAAAAAACCATGGAGATTTTTAAAGACCAATTAAAAACTTTGCATCAAAACAATAGGAAACAGACTGCATTTGCGCATTAGTATTTATTTACAAAAGGATGATATTCACGCACTGTTTGACATTGCTTCTCTTGCCATATGGCTTCAAAATTACAGGTTGGAATGACTGTAATTCATTTTAAATGAATAACTGTAAATCATTTTAAAGATGAAGCTATGGGAAAGCTGGGGTGAGCTGCTACTTGTTATGGACCTTGCTCATTCCTATGTTCTTTCTCCTTTTTCTGAACAGTTGAGCCTGGGCTTCTCCCACCGAGTCTTCTCTGTATACTGACCACCCCCACTGTGTCCATGCTTATGGTAATGACTGTTTACGGACCTCTGAAAAGACCCCATGACCCCAAATGCAGGCAAGAGTTTATAGTTGCAAGTCTTTGTTTTGTCTTAAGTCTAGTTATTTTTAATGAAATTAAACTATCCCAGTGAATAATTACCCAATCATTTTCTGCCAGGCCTGGCACAGTGCACAGTGCAGCATAGGAGTGTATAGTTGCAAGTCTTTGTTTTGTCTTAAGTCTAGTTATTTCTTATGAAATTAAACTATCCCGGTGAATAATTACCCAATCATTTTCTGCCAGGCCTGGCACAGTGCACGGCGCACAGCACAGCATAGATGTTCATGGAATACAGAGGCCAAAAAATGGCCAAAAACCTTCGCCCTCCTGTATTTGTGATGAAACGTGGCAGCTCCTTCCATCAACAGATGGGGTCTATTTCCCAGTCTATTCATGGCTTCCTTTAATGAGTGGAATGAGGTAGAAATGATGAGGTGCCAGTTCTGAACACAGAACTTAGGAAGCCTGTGTGCTTCCACTCTCTTTCTCAGAACTCTGCCTCATTGCCATGAGAACAAGCTCAGAATGAGAGGATGAGAAACGCATGGTCCATTCATATCCCAGTTGATAGTCAGCCAACAACCACAACCAGAGCTGCCCAGCTAACTACAGACATGAGTGAGTGCAGCCTAGAAAAGTCAAGCTTGGCCCAGATAGGCCACCCAGATGCTTGTTCACCCATAAACAGATGAGCAATAACAAATGCTTGCTGATTCAAATCACTGTGTTTCAAGGTGATATGTTTTAGAGCATTATTTACAGTCAATAGATCATTGATACAATGCTCGATGTGTGTGTGATGAATCAATCATTTCCACCTTCATGTAGAATAGCTTAGCAGTTTATTTTCTAAGAACGTATTTTGTTAGGAGTGGAGAGAGAACATGAGAAGTTGAATGCAGCCTTCAGTGAACTATGAGTAGTATACTGAAAAGGAGGAGTGTAGTTAATAAGTGGAGTTACTTATTAAGAATAAGTACAAGGTGGCCGGACGTGGTGGCTCACGCCTATAATTCCAGCACTTTGGGAGACCAAGGCAGGTGGATCGCTTGAGGCCAGGAGTTCTAAACCAGCCTGGCCAACATAGCATAACCTGTCTCTACTAAAAATGCAAAAATCAACTGGACATGGTGGCGCACACCTGTGGTCCCAGCTACTCAGGAGGCTGACACATGAGAATTGCTTGAACCAAGGAGGCGGTGGTTGCAGTGAGCTGAGATCATGCCACTGCACTCCATCCTGGGCAACAGAGTGCTACTCTGTCTCAAAAAAAAAAAAAAAAAAAAAAAGAAATGAGTAAGTACAAGGCATGCCAGGTCTAGCAAGCCATTTTCCCTTTGTTCCATTTGTCATTTTTCCTCGATCCAGGCTGAAAGGTACACCTGAATCAGGTCTCCGTTGATGGAGAACTGAAAAAGCTTGGCTCAGAATCAAGTAGAGGCATGAACACTATGGTACCTGACTCTTTCCTTCAGGTCCTTCCCATAGAAGTTGAACTTCGCAGCAAGATAGCTGAGGATGGCTCTAGTCTGTGTGAGCATCATTCCATCCACTTCAACCAAAGGCACTTGGCCGAAAAGCAGGCGTCCCTCTGTGGTTTGAGCAAAGAGAGGTTAAGATACCATTGTTCAGTGGTTGCAGTAAATCTAAGGATGATTCGTTTCTATCTGTGATTCTTAGATTTGATCTAAAGTGATGAATTAAAGACCACAGTTGTTGAGGAGATGGCTACCACCTGCTTCATGTAAAATCTGAGATGCGTTTGGCAGTCTCATATGTTTTGGTGTGATGGTTAACATAATTATTTAAGATTTTCCATGTTTACTATAACTATGTTATAGTTTAAGTGCTTCTGGTTCTCAGTTGAAAGAGTTGACTGGGTGCAGCAGCTCACACCTGTAATTTCAGCACTTTGGGAGGCTGAGGTGGGCGGATCACTTGTGGTCAGGAGTTTGAGAGATCAGCCTGGCCAACATGGTGAGTGGTTGGGCGGTGCGGGGGTGGGGGGGTTGGGGGGTGGGAGGATTCTTAAAGGATTCTTCAGTGAGAGGGGGAGAATTAAACCAAATTAGCGCTGACACATACAATTTTCATTCGATCTTCTTAACCGAGGTCACCATCATGACCTATTTGATAAGAGTTTCTGAAGACTAATCGGAGTGGCCTTTGCTGACGCAAATTAAGCTGTGTGTCAGGGACATGGTGAACAGTTAATCAGTGTTAGCAGTCATGCTATGTGCTTGCCTTTTCTAATAGTAGCCATTCTAGAGCTCCATCTCTTTTACTAAAACAAATACTTCCTGAAGCAGGTTTCCATTTTTCTCTAATAAGATAATATTGAATAAATCGGGGCTTACCCTTCTGCAACTTTTCATACTGTTCTCTTGTTTCAAGAAATTCTTCTTCAAACTAAAAAAAAGATAAAGAGACATTATTACAACTTTAAAGGCCTCAAGAATTCAGAGATTTTGTTTTTTCTTCATTTTTTTTTTTTTTGTTGCTCCCATTCCTTTTTCCTTTTCTTCACCTAAGTTCTTCCCTCCTTCTAAACTCATGTCCTGTCTCCAAATTTCTCGATGATTTTTTTCCCTTCTCTTTCTTCTTCCTCTTCTGTTATTCTCCCTTCCTATAAGGACAAGTCAAATTTCTCTTTAATGCTCATATATTCAAAGAAAGGAAGCCAAAGACCACGACTCAGGTGAGGTTTATTTCATGATTTATTGATGATGTTTCTGAAACTTTTGTGAGAAACACTGATATTTTTTCATCCCCCTAAACCTTCGGATGTGGTTGAGCAATGTAAGGGAGATATCCCTAAAAGGTTATAGAGAAAAACAAACAAAGTAATGAGTCCTAGCTCTAGAGGAGATGGCATTCAGATAGGGAAAAGGAAGCCCACACTTGCATAAAACAATTCCAAGGCACTTGTGAAAAATCAATGGAAAAGTCATTGTGGAGGGAATTCGGAGTTAAGGAAAGATCCCATGGGGTAGATCTTTTAGGGAGGAGTTAAAGAGTTTAGCCAGATTGCAGCTGGGCCCAACATTCCTGATGGCAGCCATGAGTATTACAGGACTGGGTTCTGGAGGCAGAGCTGAAAGACGCCAGAAAATCAGCCCGTCCCAATGGAGAGAACGAGGCACATGTGGGTCGCCTCTCTTTGTCTTGTGATCCATGAAAATCTTTTCAACCCCTGTGAAGCTTGCAGAACACCACCTCCCCCAACAGCTCGCAAATTATCCCCAATCCTATGATTCCCTCCCTCACCTCTTGCAAAGGAAGACAATTGGAAAGGAAAATATAGATACAGCTGGAGGCACCATTCTGAAGCTTGAAGGGGAAAGGAGACCACTTCATTCGCACCCAGATTACCATCCTTCCCCATCCCAGTGAGGAACCAACCTCCACTCCAGCTGCAGCCAGCAGCCAGCGGACGGACTCCATCCTGCCCCTGCCATGAAAGTAGTAGAGCTTGGGTTTGGCTGCCATGATTCCTGCCATGGCTTAGAGTTTTCTAAAAGACTAAAAAAAAAAAAAAAAAAAAAAAAAAAAAAAAAATTAAACAATTTACTGACAAGCCATATGGTATGTCCCTATTTATAATAATTCCAAAACAGGTAAAGCAAAACTATTGTTGAAGGATGCATACATAGGAGGTAAAAAATGAAAAATAGCAAGAAAATAATTACCAAGGAAGCAGGATAATGGTTACTTCCAGTGAGGAGAATGGGGTTGCTATTGGGGAGGAGCATTTAAGGTTTCTAGGATGCCAACAATGTTCCATTTCATAAGCAGAATTCGTGGTCTTTATAGTTAGTCTTAAAAGTGCACATAAACGCATTTGCACCCTACTCTACAGATGCTCTAGCTCACAATTTAAGAAAAAGGAAAGAACAAATAATGTATATTGTTTTGTTTTTTAAACTCAGACCATATTTTTCCTCTGCTGGAAACACTAAAAAACAACACAGAAGACTTTTGTGACCCCAAAATATGTGGGGGTTTCTCCCCACTGGCAAGCAAGCAATTAATTCTGCAGCAGACACCAGCTGAGTGTCCTCCAATTTAATGCCGACACTATCTACCTGGAGATAGCATCAGATCCCCGAGAGTGAGGGCTCTGTCCTCAAACTGCCTCCCTTTCAGACACCAGTCATAGGGCCTCCAGAACTTCTGACCAATCAGCTTCAAGTTGGGATTCCCACAGCCTCCTCTTTGGGTTTTAATTAATTTGCTGGAGCTTCTCACAGAACACAAAAAAACCCTAAGTGTACCAGTTTATTAAAAGGCTATCACCAATGATATAGATGAAGAGACACATAGGGTGAGGTGCAGGAAGAGACAAGGAGCTTCCACGTCCTCCCCAGGCGTGCCACCCTCCAGGAACCTTTACCGGTTCAGCTGTCCACAAACCCCTGGAATCCCGTCCTGGTTTTTTATTGGGCTTCATTACGTAGGCATGATTGATTAAGCCATAGTCCTTCTTCCCTATAGAGGTTGGGCGTTGGGGCTGAAAGTCCCAACCCCTTAACCTCGTATTTGTCTTTCTTTTTTTTTTTTTTTTTTTTTTTAGTTTTAAAATGTCCACTTTATTCCATGTAACACTTAACCATGTATCATTTACATCTGAAGAAGAGATGGCCCCTGAGACTGATCTATAGTAAAACACTCTAAGAAATGCAGTCCAATTTTATACATTTCCAGGCATCCCTAGACAAGTGTGTCACAATGCACAATGCCGAAATATAGGTATCGTATTTGTCTTTCTAGCTGACCAGCTCCATCCTGCAGCATCGGTCAATATTAGCATACAGAAGACAGCACTGTGGAGTTCCAAGAATTTAGGAGTTGTATGTTGAGAAATACTAAGTTTATGAATATTGATGACTACTGAGTGTATGATAGAATATGTAGTTTGTTAGGAAGAACGATGGCAAGGAAAACACCCCCCAAGTGGAAAACCACTTGGGGCATTCCAAGGTGGCAGGACAATGTATAAATATCATACACCAGTTAAACAATTCTTGGAAATATCTGACCCTGCCCCTGTGGCTCCCTCGTGGAGAATACCTTTTAGTTTGTCTGTAATCAGTAGGTAAGCGGGTAACAACTGCCTACCTAGCATATTTTTGCGTTATGAGAAAATACAGAACACCTGTTTGTTAATAATACTCACCTGTTCCTAGAGAATACATGGCTCAGAATCTGCTCGGGGCCTTCAGCCTCGAATGCTGTCAGCCCCTGAGGCTCTCAGTTTGTAAGGCGGCTGGCCCTTCCCCCACCATAAACCCACTTTGCTGTTCTGAGTGTCTGCCTCTCATTGCCTTCAGTGCTGCCTGGGTGGGGGTCTCTCTGACCGAGCTGGTACTCGGTAGTTGCATGTCAGAAAAGCGGAAGAACACCAAATACACGTATTTCACAATACCACAGTCCACCCTCCCCCACCTTTGAAACCCAATCTTATATTAAAAGAACATAAAACTCAAAAAGTATTGCCACATTACTAGACTCCCATTCAATCAGTAATAATTAGTCTAGCCCATCATATTGTACTAATGTCCCCAGAGTGAGGTCACTCAGGTTTGCAGGCTTCCTTCCATTCAGTTCCAAAAGTAGGAGCAAACAGAGCTTCACCCTTTCAGACATCCGTTATAATTGAGCTATGAGACCCGTCATCTCTCGCTCTGAGCCCCTTTCAAGGTGTTAGTGCAATGTTGGATTTCTCTCCATTTATAACCCACCTATTCATTCCTTTATGCTCAGGTACTCCCCCCCCCACCCTCTGTTAATAACTAAGCTTTTTCACCTTTGGGAGGAACATTAGAATCACCACTGTGACCATCGCCTCAGATAGGTGAGAAGGTGGTTTTTGAGGTGCTTTGGAAAACACAGAACAAATTGTAGTCATTATACAAGTATACTCTTCCCTTGGCAAAAAATACATAGGCATGTCACTGAAATGGGGGTTAGTTGCCACGTGTAGAGTCCAATCAAACAAGAGCGAGATCTGATACCAAAAAAGGTGAACTTATTCCTCACTTTGGGGCAGGAAGCACGCACTTTTTTAAGGTAAGGGAGGAAATGAGCAAGGGCAGGGAAGGGTCCTGCTAGTGTGGCGTCTTACCTATTAGACAGCTGAATTGGCCACTTCTGGGGCAGAAGCAAGTTGTAAAAGTGGCCAAGTGCGCATGATGTGTCCTCCTGGTGGATAAAAGTTCCAAGGCAATCCCTAGAGGTGAAAGTTCTGTGGTGGATACGCTTTGGTCTACAAACTGTCAACACCCAGGAGAGCTCTGTCTTGAAGCACACAGTTAGAAGAACTTGCCCTGAAGGAACGTCTGGTCAAGTGGGAGTGAAAGGTTATATTTGCATTTCTAAAGGGCTAAGCAGGAAATGGAGAGCCCAAGGCAAAGAACAAAGAAAGAGAGAAAAAGAGATAATTAAACCACCAGGTGGGGTGGCGCGGTGGCTCACATCTACCTAGTAATCCTAGCACTTGAGGAGAACTAGGCGGGTGGATCACAAGGTCAGGAGTTTGAGACCAGCCTGGCCAACGAGGTGAAACCCTGTCTCTACTGAAAATACAAAAATTAACCCCGGAGTGGTGGGTGCTCCTGTAATCCCAGCTATTCAGGATGCTGAGGGAGGAGAATCGCTTGAACCCGAGGGGTGGAGATTGTGTAGCAGGAAAGGATCTCCTGAACAACGAATACCATAGGAAAGAGTTTATTTGAACGGGCGCCTGAGCATAATTTGTCCAAAGTTCAACTCATCTAACAAAGGAAGGTTCTGCCTTTATATAGGCCTATACTTTAGATATTACAGGTGGAAGAATCTTAGGTTTATAGCTTTAGAAATCACATATGAAAAGGGTCTCGGTTTACAGCTTCAGGACTCACATATGAAAGGGTTCTGGTTCATAGTTTTAGGACTCACATGTGAAAAGATTTCTGTTTACAGTTTCAGGAATCACATATGAAAGGGTTCTGGTTTACAGTTTTAGGACTCACACGTGAAAAGGTTACAGTTTCAGGAATCACATATGAAACGGTTCTGGTTTGCAGTTTCAGGACTCACACGTGAAAAGGTTTCTGGTTTGATCTTGTTTTACGTAAAAATGGTACCTTCTGGAGAGTTTCCCCAAGACCAAGCTTGCCACCTACAGGAAGGTGAAACAGGAGGCGCCAGTTGGTCAGCCTTTTCTTCTATTGAAGTGCAGTGTGATAGTCAAAGGGGAAGTTGATTTGAGATGGCTGGGTCTCCCTCTTCCCTTGCAGTGAGCCAAGATCGCACCACTGCACTCCAGCCTGGGTGACAGAGCAAGACTCTGTCTCAAAAACAAATAAATGTAATAATAATGACAATAATAATTAAACCACCTCTGGAAAAGTGAAGACACTTGGTTACAGTCATACCAGCATCCTCCCCACACCCTCTTCACCAGATCAAACAGAAAAACCTAGTGGGACACTCCTTTAGTCCCACTCATGTTGAGTGTGAGCTCACACTTGTGAAGACATGTAAGCCAGCCCTTCATGTCTTTATTTCCTTGTTTTAGACAACCAATGTTTTAATTGCCCCTTCTACTTCTCAGATTCTTACTCTTACATTATTATGGGCTGTACAGTACGTTCCTTGGTCTGGAGAAATGACTCTAGCCATCCAAATCCATGCAATATTTTCCATTTTTTTTTTTTTTTAAATGGCACTCTGAGTATTTTCGTCTTCCACTGAATAACCAAAGCCCACTCCAGGGTTAGTATTTTTTCTTGTCAAGACCCATTTGTAGCCCACCAGGGCTACTAGCATCAGTCTCCCTTAGCTGTGTCCAGGGCCTTCCCACCAGGGAATCTGCTCCATAGCCATCAACAGTCTCTGCCTCTCTTGCTGATAAACAGAACAGTTCTCATTAGCACTGTGTGCCTGAGAGGGTAGAAGAAGAACATGTCTAGATTCAGCCCATCTCTGCACTGCTACAGTACCACCATACCACTCATTTCTTGGACCCAGGTAGGTGGCTACCTCAAGGGAACATATAGCAATATCTGTTTGTCAATTCCAGCACCTTCCAAACCCGGAAGGGAGTTCTTCTAATGGGCATTGACTTGCTCTACTTGAGTGCACCCCTCACATTCCACAGGGCCACGCTCCATATGAGCATCCTTTTCATCGTCCTGGTTTCCATTGCAGTCTTGCCAGTGTGTATGGCTAGGCCATTGGTCACTGCTTGTGAGTCAGTAAAAACCAAACACAGAGGCTTCCACCACTGTTCAATTCTTCCATCACTGTTAGGAAAACAGCAGGCAATCAGCCCACTGGGCTGATCCGTTTTTATCTTCTTGGGTCAAAATAGCAGCCTTCCAAACAGATGTTGCCCATTCACCTTGAAACTGCCATCCACAAACCGAGCCATTCTCTGTTGGCCAGCTGAGAGGTGTTTATAGGGCACTTAATCCAGCAGCTCCTTACACAGTTTGAGTCAGTCCTAA